TGCTGACTTAGCAAGAAACCAATCTGGGGAACACCGGACTGGTAACCATGACGATGATGATCCCAGTAATCATGACAACATTCAAAACACCCTCTCAAATTGAATCTTCACAAGACGTGGTGTTTAATTAGTAAGTGAAATAATATTAATGATACTATTAAAATTAAATGAAGAATATGGCCATTTTAAGAAATCGACCAGAATCTGAAAAATACCCAAAGCTATAGCCCATGGTTTTTTTCCGAAAAAATGGCTCCAAAATCACTCCAAATTTATATTCCATATTCTGATAGATATTATATAGTATAGTATTATTTCCACTGTAGGTTAGGTGAGTCAGAGTTGCTGCCCATTAGGTGGATGCCCCCTGAAGCTATTATGTTGTGTAAATTCACAATAGACAGTGACGTGTGGTCCTATGGTGTAGTACTGTGGGAGATATTCTCATATGGTATTCAACCTTACTATGGGATGAGCAATGAAGAAGTGATTAAATATGTACGGACTGATAATGTATTGAGGAGACCCCAGGGGACACCACAAGTAAGAGACTAGCTCCTGATACTCTACAGTACATTATATATACTAGTAATTAATGATGATATTAATAAAGGGAGCTAGGGATATACTTAAGGTAGGCCTGACTATACTTGTAACCTAGTGTAGTAAGAGGATACTACAGTACATTGTATGGAGGATAAAGGTATTCATATGAACGTGTTATACCTGTCTATTCCGGAGACCTTGGGACCCAATAATACCCTAGCTCCTGATTATGAACCTGTCCTTATTTGAGAGGTTCATTAATACACATTACTATTGTATTGGGACTGATACTACCCCTCCTCATTATAGAGGTGTCCTTATTTTAGAGTGTCCACAATAGGAGGAGGTTATACTGTATTACTATTAGTATTCACTCCAGTCCTACTACTGGTTCATCCTTTAATGTTATATTAGAATGGAGTCATTATGTATCATGAGTATATATAATGAGTGGGTCTGTATCTATTCATTATATTAGGAGATATATGATCTTATGTTGGACTGTTGGGCCATTAATCCTACTGACAGACCTAAAGCTATTGAAATATCTAACGGGCTAGAGAGATGGACCCCTGACCTATCAGCACAAATTGAAGTAAAGTGTAGGGGGCCAGGCCGGGTCTGAGACAGGGGGTGGATTTTAACTAAGGGGTTTCATTAATAAGTGTTCTCTCTCTCTCTCTCTCATTGTACAGGTCCAATCACAATATCCTGATTATCAGAATATGTCCACCATATTGGAATGGGCTAGGAAGTCAAGAGAAGTTGGTCAGTATCATTTATTAGAGAATACTACCACCTCTGATGTTAACGGAGCCACACCCACTAATAATGGAGTCCCGCCCACTCTCGTTAATGGGTCTTATGATCATCTTTCCCCTCCCACTGGTTATGATAAAGTTATTAGTAATGATGAGGATGTCCCTATTTATTAACTTATAATTAAACTTTATTATTAATTAAAAGGACAAATAAAGTAATTATTAATTAGTTTTTAGTTTGTGAGTTTCATTAAATTTTAATTTCGTGTATTTTTAAGTATCTAAAAATTAATTATACTAACTTTCACTATTGGTAGTGGTTTGTGTGGTTGTTCTTTTCTGTGTCTATCAATCAATGTCTTCTTTTGATCTTTAAGAGTATCCACCAGGAGAGGAGGAAGATGTCCATTATTAATCTCAATATATTCAAGTGATGGATGGATGAAGATAGTTTCATATAAATGTTGTACTAGTTCTATCCAGTTAGGTTGAGATGACTTATCATTAATATATCTACACTCTATCCTCAGTAGTCTGATGGTTGTATGTGACTGTAACATGTTAGTAACAGCAGGTAGTCCCTGTTCATAAAACAATGGTGTCATTATTTGTTTCTTCTCTTCCTTACTACAGTTACTGTATGACTGATCTGGTTTGAAGTTTACTTCAAGTTCTGTGAGATTGTTTTTTTGAGAGATGACATTAAGTATAGGTTATACACCGAGGTAGAGGTTTCTATGGTATTTATTAACCAAGCGACGCAGTCGCGAGGTTAATAAATACCATAGAAACCGATACCGAGGTGTATAACTAACTTCTACCATGACACTTGAAAAACAACTACCAGCTGCTGATAATAAGACCACAGTTGACATACATACAACATATCTAACAGGCTAGGCCAGTAAAGAATCAACCAAACTTGACAAATGGATTAATAAGAGTATAAGCGTAGAGTACCAAACTGCCAATCAATTAATTATTTAACGAGATAGGTTTATATTTTTACGAGCTAGGTTAATATGAAAAATAATTGACCTCCAATACTGCAATCTGATTGGTCAATCGCAAGGTGGCATGGTAGAATAAAAGTTTTTATTTCTTCATTTAGTGGAAGTGGAATGGATACACTCAGCTGCTGTAGACTGGTGTTGTGTCTGAGACCAGTTGTTAGGAAGGACAGGAATGAACTGGGAATGGGAATGTCAATATGCCTGTCATTATTAATCTCAAAGTATTTCAGTGTTTGGTTTTGTGTTAGCATGTCTTGTAGACTAGTACCCATACTGCTGGTATATACTCTCTCCTCCTTTATCTCCACACTCAGAGCTTTAAGTGTAGTATTGGTTTGTAGAATAGTAAATAGTTCAATAGCACTCTCAGCTGTGTCTAGTGGTAAAGTAAGGGTATGTAGACTGGGATGAGAGAGAAATAGAAGATGTGGTGGGTGTGGATCATGTAGTATCAGACAGTGTAATCCTTTGATATGTGGAAGGAGTGATGATGTCATCAGTTCACTACTGCTCCACCATTCTCCTATCTCTAGAGCAGTCAGTGATGTGTTCACCTCTACTATATTCAGTGATGATGGTAGAAGTTTATCAATTACTGATACTGATGAATCTGATGATGATAGTTCATTAGGTAGATCTATATATATATAGTCTGATGAATTTGATGATGGTAGGAGTTTATCAGGCATGTTAAGTGAAAGAGCTTGTAATGTGTTGTTGTCCTTTAGTAACTCCTTACTCCATCAGGTAGAGGAGGAGCAGCAGCATAAGGAACAAGCATTGTTAATGATGTTATTGTTTTATTTCTTGTTACTCCTCTAATGATGACACTGATAATGGTACTTGTTGTATTCCTTCCATTATACTCAATCTTCATTTCTTGTAGTGTTGAATTCATTTCTATACATTTCTCAAGTTCAGTGCACTTGTCTGTGTAGTATGCATTGTCAACTGTTGGTATAGTAGGACTGGCCATTATTAAGTGCAGTATCTTCAATTGAGGAAGATTGAGGAACTGTAACAATACAAGACAGGGAACATATTGACCTTTAAATAATAAACAGTAGCACTCCTGAATATTGTATAGAAGTGATGATTGTAATAATTTGTGTATTAATTCATCAGTGGGATCAAACAACTCTGCCTCCAGTCTCTTACACTGGGTCTGTAGTGAGTTATTGGTTAGTCCAGCAGTGAAGACTGATAATTCCTGCTTATATACACGCCCCAGGTCCAAATGATTCCATGTTGTGTTGGAATTGTTTATACAATAACTGAGACACAACCAGTCAAACAATGATAATGATACTCTAACCAGACACAGTGAGTGGTTGTTGATGGATTGTGCTAATACTTGACATAATGTTGTGTTTTGTGATTCATACAGGAGTTGAAGAAGAAGAATGGGAACATTGTCAAAATCATCAAAAATTATATGATCAAGTATTCCAAATCTAATCTCAGGATTTTGATAGAAGTAGGAGGGATGACAAGTCTCAAATCCAAAAAATGGTTCCCTCTCACACTGTAAGTCAAGTTGTTGTATATTGAAATACTGTTGATAGCTCTCATGTTCAAGGTGAGTTAGACCTGCCACAAACCTCAGACACATTCGAAAGTGATCATCATCAAAGTGATCCTTAAACACTTCCTCTGTCTTCTTCTCATGCTTAGCTATCCACCATGCAGCTAGAAATTCCTGTATACTCAAGTGAAGGAACTGATACTTCTCCTCATCATATTCTGTGAATCTTGTCATCAATCCGAGATAGTCTTCCTTGACTGCCTCACTCAGTGACTGTAGTTGATGTGAACAGAATGTCATTGTTGTATTAGCCAGGTTAGTATAAGCTAATTGACACATCTCTTGTAAAGGTTTAGCTAATTGTGATGGTAATGAAGAAAGACTACCTAAACTATGTGGGTTAATGTCACGTCTTTTAACATGTCTTCTGATAGTTTGTAGGATAAAGTTCTGATAGAGTTGAGTGAGTGTTGTTGGTAAGTGTCCTCCTTCCTTACAATAAACTAAGATGACCATGGAACAGACTAGTGGTACATAACACAATGATTGGACATCATTTCGTAATTTAAGATCATTAATGAGTTTCACTGCTAGTTGTGAGTCCTTATCTGTTGGTAATTCAACTTCACTACCTCTTTCAACTAGTTCACCATCACTTTCAACTAGTTCATCATCACTTTCAACTAGTTCATTATCACTTTCAACTAGTTCATCATCACTTTCAACTAGTTCATCATCACTTTCAACTAGTTCATCATCACTTTCAACTAGTTCATCATCACTTTCAACTAGTTCATCATCACTTTCAACTTTATCATCACTTATTTCATCACTTTCATCATCACTTTCACTATCGAGATTGCTTTTACTATGCAAGTATTGAATAATTTTTTGTGCTAGTTTTGTATCTTTTTGAAGTGTTTGTATAATTACTGTTGATATTTCTTTCTTAGAAAACCCAATGACCTGAACATGTCTACTGAGAGTATCCATTTTCAAAAGTGAAGAGGAGGCATAGCTACGAGAGGTAACAATTACTGAACATTGGTCTAACTTCTCTTTATAAATGATACTAGCAGCTAGTGAAGACTGTCTGAATTGTTCACTTAGTTCATCCCAGCCATCAAAGATTATCAGTAATCCTTCTCCATCCCTCCCCTCAAACCATTCAGGTACATTTTTATATCTATTAAGTTGACACACAAACAGGTCAGCTAATGTAGTAGCTGTAGCTATCTTGCTATTCCTTAAAGGACAGTAAAGTACCAAGTCATACTGTTGGTGTGGAAGTGGTCCATTAGACCACATATTTAACAGTTTACGACAGAGTGTGGTCTTCCCAATACCAGGAGGACCGTCTATTACTACTCTGAGAGACAGAGAACTATCTGTGGGTCGGAGGACATCTTCAACACTTATCTCTTTGTTTTCAGTTAGTTTAACTGTTTTATCAACTTGTCCTCTTAGCATATGCCAAGCTGATTCTGCTTGTGTGCTGGAGTCTTGTTTTTCTACTAGTGCTAGTCTTCCAAAGAAATCTTTTCCAATTCTTGGTGGCCAGTCTGTAGCAACAATAGGTTGGTGTTTGTAGTGTTGTCTCATATTGTCAGCATATCCTTGAACATCATCAGGTATTGAACTAATGGATGTGACATTATCAGGTGTAGACTGACCTAATGTATTGAGATATAATGACTATATTGATCACTGATAATGTACACACACACACTCACCTAACTGGTGTAATATAGAGGTAGCAATATCTGTTAGTGTGCGATGTTGTTGGTTTATTAATACATGACATATATCAATAAGATACTGCTCTGGATTAAGAGAGGATTCCAACTGTCGTTTTATCACAGACACTAATTGACTTGATTTAAGTAAATGTGATATTCCTATTGCTGTTTGAATATTATTAACAGTTTCCATTGGTATTAGTCCTTTAGCATACAGTCCATTTGTTATCCTGTAAAGATTATTAGTAATAGCATCAACGAGAGTATCATAATTCATCTTTAATATAGCACTAGGAGTGTTACCTGCAATAGTGTATCAGTTAATGAGTGTTGTATTAAGTGTATGTTTACCTGTTATAGGTTGGTGCTTGTAGTGTTGTCTCATATTGTCAGCATATCCTTGATCATCAGGTATTGAACTAATGGGTTTAGCTACATCAGACTGACCTATTGATCAGATACATAAAAACAATGTATACACATTAAATAATTTATTACCTCTTATATTAGTAACTGGTGTATTGGATATATCATCAACTGGTGATGGTAGTACAACATGTGAACTGACATTATCAGGTATAGACTGACCTATTGTACCTGACCTAATAACAGTTTCTAGTTGAAGGAGAAACTCTACTGCTTCATTATTACCAGCTGTGACTGCCTCAAGGAGAGCTAGTTCAAAGGTGAAGTTCATATTCTCATCTTCTTGAAGGACAGGATGATCATTAATGTATAAACTAAATATACCAATGAGACGCATAAACTGTAACTTTCCTCCAGTATATTCTATTAGACTATCAGCTGTAATGTCAAGGACATAATAATGTATTGTTACTGATCCTGGTATAATCTCAATGTGCTGCAGTATTGATTGCTTTGAATCAAGTGGCAGCATTTTCCCAATTAATCTCTTCAATCCCTTCATTTTTTCTTCATTCCATCTGTTTTGTAATTTTATTATCATCTTTGGCATTTTTGTCAAGCCAATTGCCAAATATGGCTTGTATAAATTTTCTAACTCATTTTTCAGTTGCTTGATTGTTGTTGAAGAATAAAAATTCTCTGCATTTTCATGATGTGCATTGAGTTCCTTTGCAAGTTCATCTTCCTCTGGTATAAATTTTTCACACATGTCCATTATCAGTTCAAAATCAATACAGTCATAAAGAGGGTGGATAGTATCACATATTTTTTCAATGGTTCTTGCATCATCTATCTCAGTATCAATACTCTTATGATTAGTGAGATAACAACTATTTTTGAGCCAATCCTTAACTGTGTCTAGTGAATTTGGTTCCTGTGCAACATAACTGATAAATGCTTTTTTGACTTTTACCATCAGTGAGGTAAAGTTTTTTTCAATTTCCTTTAATGAATCGTGTGTTTTTGTTTCTTCTTCTTTTGTTTTAAACAAAATCTCTTGCTCATGAAACCTTTCATTTTTTGGCATTGCTTCTGATGTGCTTAACATAGAAGGATGTGGTGTATCTTTGTCTAACTGGTGTAATATAGAGGTAGCAATATCTGTTAGTGTACGATGTTGTTGGTTTATTAATACATGACATATATCAATAAGATACTGCTCTGGATTAAGAGAGGATTCCAACTGTTGCTCAATGACATTCACAAGTTTACTAGATTTCTCAGTATTAGTTACTCCTAGTACATGCACCTCCTCTTTAGTTTGTTGTGGTACCAGTTCTTTAGCATGCAGTGCATCAGTTACATTGTATAGATTCACACTAATAGCATGAACTAGTTTAACAGAATGAGTCCTTAATATATCCTTTGGATTACCTGTAGTAGTGTATCAATTAATGAGTGTTGTATTAAGTGTATGTTTACCTGTTATAGGACCAGGATTAGCATTACTGGTACTGACTTCCATATCATCATTAGTACTTCTTCCAGCTGTGGGATCTGTCACTTTGTCATCAATAGTTCTAGCTAGTTCATTCTCTTTACATAGTTTCAAAGCATTAATGACATCTCTCCATGATGCTGTAGGATTAACTTGTAACCATCTCTTATGTAATGCCTCCATCCTGAGGTAAGAGCTTCCTTTTCTTTTAATTATATCAACATCAAGTTGTGTTATCCCACCAGGAAGACAAAAAGCAAATGGCTCCCAGTCATCAAGTGATTCGAGACACTTTGTAAATGAGAAACAAGTTGGTTGATCATCAATCATAGGACCAGGATTGAGCTCTGATGTAAAACAGAATACATTAGTAGATTAGTAATATTATTGACATATTATACTCAAAGTTTGCATGTAGATTAACAAATGCACTTAACACAACAATATCACATGCGTATCAAGCAATTTTATTACTTTTAGTAACTGGAGTTGATGTATTGCCAACGGTATAAGTAGCAACTAATCTTTTTAATGCATCTGTTGCTGCCATCATTAGCGCAGTCCATCCTTTATTGTCCTGAATGTTAACATTAGCTCCAGCAGACAGTAAACTGTGTACAATGTCCTCATGTCCTCTTTCACAAGCTAACATTAGTGCTGTCTTACCTTCTTCATTAGTATGATCAATATTAACAGTTTCCAGTTGAAGAAGAAACTCTACTGTTTCATTATTACCAGCTGTGACTGCCTCAAGGAGAGCTAGTTCAAAGGTGAAGTTCTTATTTTCATCTTTTTGAAGGACAGGATGATCATTAATGTATAAAGTAAATATACCAATGAGATGCATAAACTGTAACTTTCTTCCATTGTATTTTATTAGACTATCAGCTGTAAAGTCAAGAGCATAGTAATGTATTGTTACTGATCCTGGTATAATTTCAATGTATTGCAGTATTGATTGCTTTGAATCCAGTGGCAGCATTTTTCCAATTAATCGCTTCAATCCCTTCATTTTTATTCCACTCCATCTGTTTTGTAACTTTATTATCATCTTTGGCATTATTGATATGTCATTTGCTAAGTATGGTTCATACAAATTTTCTAAATTCTTTTTCAGCTGCTCAATAGTTGTTGAAGAATAAAAATTCTCCGCATCTTCATGATGTGTATTGAGTTCGTTTGCAATTTCTTGTTCCTCTGGTATCAATGTTTGGCACATGTCCATTATCAGGTCACAGTCAATGCAGTCATAAATGGGGCGGATGCTATCAAATATTTCTTCAATGGTTTTTGTATCAGGTATTTTGGCAACAATACTAATGTGATCAGTCAGATGATCACTGTTTTTGAGCCACAATTTAATTCTGTGTAATAAATCTGGATTTTCTGCTACACATTTGATAAATACTTCATTGACTCTTACCATTAGTGAGGTAAAATTGCTTTCAATTTTAGACAGTGAATTTTGAATATTTATTTCGTCTTCTTTTCTTGGAAACTGAATCTCTTGTTCATGAGAACTTCTAATTTCCATTGCTTGTGATGTGCTTGACACAGAAGGACGGGGTGTATCTTTGTTTAACTGGTGTAATATAGAGGTAGCAATATTTGTTAGTGTACAATGTTGTTGGTTTATTAATACATGACATATATCAATAAGATACTGCTCTGGATTAAGAGAGGATTCCAGTGTTGCTTGTAGTGTAATGAGTAGTTTCCCAGTTTTCCTTAATTCATTTTCTCCTGTCAATGAGTACATGTCTCTTTTAGTATCCAGTGGTATCAGTCCTTCATCATACAGTGTATCAGTTACTCTGTAAAGGTTAGTAGCAATAGCATCAGTGAGTTTAACAGAATGAGTCCTTAATATATCCTTTGGATTACCTGCAGTAGTGTATCAGTTATGAGTGTTGTATTAAGTGTATGTTTACCTGATGTAGTACTAGTAACAGGTTTATTAATTACAGAAACTGATGATGATACAGTAGATACTACTGGTACAGTACTAGTAGGAGCATCAGTATTACCTATATTATAATTTATAGTAAATTTTAATATGTGTGTCATTTTTATCACTGAAGTTATGTTTACCTGTTATAGGACCAGGATTAGCAATGCTAGTACTGACTTCCATATCATCATTAGTACTTCTTCCAGCTGTGGGATCTGTCACTTTGTCTTCAATAGTTCTAGCTAGTTCATTCTCTTTACATTGTTTCAAAGCATTAATGACATCTCTTCATGATGCTGTAGGATTAACTTGTAACCATCTCTTATGTAAAGCCATTTTCATGAGGTGAGCATTTCTTTTCTTTTTATCAATTATATTGACATCAGATTGTGTTATTCCAGGAAGACAAAGAGCAAATGGTTTCCAGTCAACAAGTGGTTTAAGACACTTTGCAAATAAGAGACAAGATGGTTGATCATCAATCATAGGACCAGGATTGAGTTCAACATCTCCTGATAAGAGGAGGAGGAGAAGTAAAACCAAATAGTAGATCAGGTCAGAGCTACTCCCAATAGTAGCTATAAACAAGACTAATGACTGGAGGCAGTGGATCATAACAGTAGCAGTAATTATACCTATTGTAAATACACTGTATGATAATATTATATACTGTTAGTTTGTTTACCAGTTGGAGGAATAAAATTGAGCTTCATATATCTTAATAAAGATAAAAGAAGAGAAACAATAAGAGACAGAGCTGCTGGCAGTTTAGATGTCTTCTCTCCTGATGTAGTACTGCCTGACTTGCTGTCTACTGCAGCTTTGAATGAGTAAGAGTGGCGGCCATTAGCTGGTCTACTGGAGGCAGCTTGACAGTAGTTCCACAGTCCAATACTTGCTCTCCATTGAGAGACATCAATCATCTTGTACTATAGTATGGAGGACAATGAGAGAATTAGGTAACGTAAGGTGTAGCTATTTCAGTGATCACTTACACCACAATAAAGAAAGAAGGACTTTATAAAAAGAATTGAAGAGAAGATCCTTTCTAGTACTGCAAAGTAAGAGTAACCTTCACTAGTTAATCAAAGGAACAAGCTTTCCCTGTAAACTGAAATGGAGCAGTACAGATGTACTACATGAACCAGTGTATAAAGGATGGGTGTATCAGTGTATGTGTGTGGTATATAGGACCTCATGAAAATAGTTACTGGAACACACCAATAACACTGAATATCATTAAAATATCTTATACTGAAGAG